CAAACATAACAGGACGCAGGCAGCGCCGCCCCCGCGCACCGCTGGACACGGTGCGGTTGAGGGTCGCGTCCACCGTCTCCTGCACCGCGGCCGTCCAGGTGTAGGCGGTGTTGTCAGTCACATAGATGGCGCCCTGGTCGGTCGTCATCTCAGCGGCGCCGTTGCCCAGCGCCGTGATCAGCAGCGGCGTGCCTGAAGGGCGGTTGGGGCGGTTGGGGGCAGGGTCGATTGCGTGCCCGTGGGGGCAAGAGAGCCCAGGCCCGCCGGCAGGCGCTGTGGATGGGTGGACGGGTAATCGCCCTGGATCTGCATCAGCCAATTCAGCGGGCTCCAGCGCACCGGGCAGCTTGTTGCTGAGCGGGATGCGCTCCCAGTTCTTGCCGCCGTCTGCGGTGTGCAGCAGGATGGCGGGCTTGCCGATGATCCAGCCCTCAGAGCCGCTGAAGGAGATGCTGTTGAAGCGGTAGTTGAAGCCCTCGTCACGCGCGGCCTGGGGAGGAGGGACGTGTGTGTATGTGCGTGTGTGTGAGTATGTGTGTGTTTGTAGGTTCTTGACTTGAGTTCTGCTCTAATCAGGCTACAAAATGCTCTAACAGGGTGACATCATGCTTTTTGCAGTGTAATGCAAGTAGCCAGAGCCAACGGAGAGCCGCGTGCAAACGAGGCTTGCACGCACGCCACCGCCCCTCCTACACCACCCTCGGCCCTCCCGGCCCCGCGCCGCCCCCGCGCACCTCAATGGTGCGCTTCTCCCAGGTCTTGCCGCCGTCCAGGGTCTCAAGCAGAGTCTGGCGTGTGCCCAGGACGTAGCCTTCGGTGGAGGTGGGTGGCCGGGGTGCGGTTGGGTGGGCAGAGGTTGGTCATGCCGTCGCCTGTGCTCGCGGCGCGCAGACAAACGCTGTCTCCGTGCAGCAAAGAATGTCTGCAAGCCGGCCGCCACGTGCAAGGCTAGTTTGAGTGGAGCGTGTCACTTCTTGCTGCAACAACCGGGGCCCACGTGCAGACGGGACGTGTGCGCGCACACAGGCGCCCTTGCATCCGCTTCCCCTGTTGGACTGGGTCGCCCTACCGTGGTTGGGGTTGTCGCCCGCAAAGCCAATGTCCAGGAGCACCACCCCCGCGTCAAGAGGCAGGTCAACCTGCATGCAGCAAACGAGCGTGGCAGACTAAATCGACGGCGACGGGCGCCCGCACTTGCGCGGGCACTGGCCCGCGTGTGGTGGTAGGTGCTGGCCAACGTGGGGCCACGTCAGCAGCGGCCGCCACAGCGCACACGTAAGCCCATTCGTGCCGGCGCTTGATCAGGTGGCCCGTCAGCTTCAACTTGCCTTCTCCCAGTCAGCCGACAGCACGGTGTTGGCGCTCGCCGCGTCGGGAAGCGCCAACTGCGGCAGCACGCCCGCCGCGGCCGAGAGCGCCACCGATGCGCTCAGCAGGGAGCGCCGGCTGGTGGCATCGGCGTCTGCAGTGGACTGTGCCCGCACCACGACTGATCGCGGCTTGCAGGGGCCGAAGGCTGCGAGGTGCGGGTGCAGCGGAAGGATGCCGATCTTTCATCTCGCGCTGGACCAAGTCGAGCCCATGTCCTTCTCAGACGGATCCAATTCTCACGATTCTCACCCTTGCGATTGTTTGCCTTGGCCCCGGCGGCCTGGGTCCTCTGCGCGGCGAGCTGCATTGTTTGTGGCGAGGGGCTCGAGTGCACGAAGCGTGCAGTCGTGCAATATTAAGAGTTTAAATGACTACAATTGTGCACAGCATCGCAATGTGCATGATGCCCTGACTGTTGCTGCACGCCCGCCGCATTGCTGCGCAGAGCGCGCTTCTGGAGCCACCCGTCCACCGCCACCCGTCCACCACTGAGCACGCGGCGACGCCGCTGTCGGGGCCAATGGGGTATCTCTAGCCATACTTTCATCTGAAGCATGCCGATCTAGGTGCCTCGTGTCTGTAGAGAACGCTCGATTGTGCCTGCACCGCCCCTGCCTCAACCTTGATGGGTGGTGACCCACCCCCGGCTCGAGTGACCCAGCCGCGTGGATTGGGAACATGCGGGTGGCCTTCAGGCTTCTGCAATTTGCACGCGCCCGATCGTGTCTTTCCTGGGCAACCCCATGCAGTGGGACCTTCCTGGCAGTGTGCCTTTTGACTGTGGGTTTGACCAGGCTGCGACGCAGCCGTGGCGCTGGCACAGTTGGGTCTTGTGTCTGGCACCCCCGAAACGCGCCAGGCAACAGCCAGCGAGGCACTGTCAGATGGGATTCTGCTGTGAGGTTACACGGCAGGAACCCGGGCCCCCACCTGCGCTAAGAACGGGCAGTAGAGTGGCACAATGGACGAGGAAGGCATGCCCGGGCTGCACGATCTATTTTGTGGGCGCGCAGGGGCACCCCCGCGGGTGGAGGCCACGGCAATGATGACGCACGATAACATTTATGAAGCATAAGTGAAGGGACAGTCCCAACATTGGGTCACACCTAGACTAAATTAGAAGTCCCCACAGCCACAGGGCGCCCGGCCAGGGGGACAAAGGGACACCCGGCCAGGGCGACAAAGGGACAGGGCGCCCGGCCGCCGCCGCCGACGCCCAGCCCCTACAACCACAATGCCACCGCCGCCGCCGCCGCCGCAACAGCCGCCACCGCCGCCGCCCCCCCGCCCCGCAGGCCCCCGCCCGCCGCGTTGGTGCGGACGCGGCGCGCGTCGGGCGTGCTGGCGTTGAGCAGGACCTCGGGGATGCCCGCGTTGATCTCCCCGTCGGCCTTGCCGCTGCTGCGGCCGGTGGCCTCCTCCAGTGAGTACCCCCAGAGGCCGTACTTCGCCAGCACCCGCAGCCGCTTGCCGCACACGTCCTGCGAGGGGCGCCCCGGCACGGGGGAGGGCGGTCGCAAGGGGGGGAGCGGCGCAGGGTCAGGGTCGGCACGGGTCCTCGGGCCGGACTGGGGTGGGGGATGGATGGGGTGGGATGCTGCCCTTGCTCGGAGACCAGAGCTAGTTTGCCCGGGCCGCATTGCCACCGCTCACCACGTACGCCCCCACTCAAGCCCAAATCAATGAAGAAGCAACACACAATATGGATTGCCATGATCCCACAAACACACACACACACACACGCGCGCGCGCGCGCACGTGCGCACACACACATACACATACATACACACACACACACACACACACAGAACAGAACCTGTATGCAAACGCGCAAATACACCCACGCATACACGCACACACACCTGCATGAGGATGAGCAACGTGTGGTTTGTCTTGTCGTCGTTGACCTGCGGTTGGGCGGCAAAGACGAGCAATGCCAGGGTTACTTGCTTGCATCAATCCAGGGGCCAGCGGTTGAGGTGTTTGTTGATAGCCAAGACAGCGGGTAAACGGTAATGCTCCAACAACACTTTGACTCCTGCACGCAAGGCGTGCTGGAGTCAAAGTGTTGACTCCTTTCACATTCTCACACCTGTGCGTTTATGGGCGACTTGCACATGAAGTCGCCGTCGTTCTGCCGGCGCTCCCCGTCGAGGTAGCAGTACTGGTGGCCAAATCCATCGATGTCCCTTGGATTCAATAACGAACCAAACAAGCCGGACATATGTTGTTTGCAGAGGGAGCTTGTTGGTGGGGTGGTGTTTTGGGCGGCGGCAGATTGTGCAGGCACGGGCTCATCAAGGAGATCTGGCGCCTGCAAGTCGGTGCATGCGCCCTGGGGACCGGATGTGCGGGCCGCCGAGACGCGTGTATGGCCAGATGCTCAGCGCGTATTTCGCTGCCGCGTTGCCGCGCAGGCAAGGGTGCCAGCTGCAGCGCCCACCAGCTGAATTGGAAGTCCTCGTTTATCGGGACGCCGTCCGGCCCGTTGAACGAGTTGAACGCCGTCTCCTTGGCTTGCAGGCCCACCTGCGTGCGCGTCGTGCAAGGGGGCCGACCGCACGTGTGCTGTCGCCAAAACAGGTGAAGGGGCACAGCTGCACGACGTTGTGCGGCAAATCTTTCATGCAGATACGGTACGCAGCATATCCCGGCCATGTGCGACCTTTTGGTCTCCTTCATGGCGCCGCTGAGAACACTGCCCCTCACAGCTCTCACGTGTCCTCCTTTGCAACTCCCGCTGGCCCCCCTTCCACCCCCTAGCTCCTACAAAACGCCTCCCTCCCCACCGCCACGCAAAGCGCCAGCACAGCCGCGCCCGCACCATCCGCGTGAGGTTCATCTTGCCGCTTGCGTATTTGGGCAGCCCCTGCAGCGCCACCGGCATGTCCTTCCACACGCCCATCTCATCCAGGTCGTCCGCGGCCTTCCCAAACTTCTGGACGGCCTCCGTCGTCAGCAGCGACGGGAACTCGCTCAGAAGGCCCCCATCAACCTGAGAGGACCCCGGCGCACGCGGCGAGGGAGGGGGTTAGCGCGGCGCAGCGCCGCATGCGCCCTTTCGCAAGTGGGGCCGGGGAAGGAGGCTGCCAATCCGCTGCAGGGAGGCTGGACATTTCCCCTGCTGTCGAGGCAGACGGCGCCCCTCGGGCCCGGCCTTCTCCGGCGCCGCCCTCGCGCGCCGTCCTGGCGCCCTGGCCTGAAGAAACTTTGCCAGTCCCTGCAGCCACTGCCGTGCGGCACAGGGATGCACGCTGCACACACGCGCACCGTCAGAGCACAGGCTGCAGACCTGGCGGGACGTTTACGGCGGGCGGTCAGTGCAACACATGCGTGTGCCTAGAGAAAAAGGCATCGCACCTCCAAGAGCCAGAAGCCCTCTGCCAGGGTGTCCTCTGGTGTGAAGTCGTAGACTGTCGTGTTGGAGGGCGACTTGCCCACCACGGCCCAGAAGTCAAACCGCTGCTTGTGGCCCTCGGGGATAGGCACCCACCACTGCGCTGTCCGGTTCAGCATGCCCTGAGGACGAGTGTGAGTTGTGTGTGTGTGTGTGTGTGTGTGTGTAAAGTGGGGTATGGTGTAAGAGTTACTGGGCACTTCGGGTCAGCCCAAGCTGGGGATGTAGCAGAATGGCGCTCCACCTGCGGCACACTTCTTTTGCGCACATGGCAATGCGGCCTAGACCCAGACACAAGACCCCTCAGTGCTGGCTGTCGCCCCCAATCACATGCACACACGCGCAGACACATGCACACCCACGCATATCAGGAGTTCAGGACACGCCCACATGCAGAATGACACAGAAACAAAGACCTGGACACATTTCCCCACTCATACATACACATGAACACGCACACGGACTCTATAATGCTTTGCCCTTCCTCCACACCCTGATGTGGTACACGGGTGTGAACAGCATCTTTCTGGTGCCAGGGAACACCTCAACGGGCACAGGCTGGATGTCGGTCAGCTCCATGGAGACTGGGGGGGGGGGGGTGCAGGAGGTATGGTAAGGGGTTGCGGGGTGAGGCGTGCAGGGTATGTTGTGTACGTGTAACGGGCTTGGCTATGGCGCAAGGCACTGTTCGAACTGGTGGGGGCGTGATGCCGTGGGCCAAGAGCCAGGTAGGCACCGACAGCCCAAAGACAGGGGAAGGCGACAAGCACAGAGCGTTTGCATCATGCAGACTCGCAAATTGTCAATTGCTGATGATGTTTGTTTCAAATGGGAGGGGGTCATGGGGTCGAGGGCGCCTGCAGCAACAATAGCCACCCACTAGCCTCTCCCCTTCCGCCCGGGGCCCTCACGCCACTCGGTCCTCACACTTGGGGCCGCAGGTGTGGAACTTGACGCGCGCGGTGGGGGGCGTGTCGAGCTTGTAGAAGCACACCTCCCTCATCGTGGAGATGTCCCGCACCGGCACCTTGTGCTCCCCCATGTAGCCCGTGCCCCGCATGACCGTCACCACAATCTGCATGCAGTAGTACCCCTGGGGGAGCGAGGAGCATCGGGCGGCCAAAGTTGTGGGACGCAGGCCTTATCAAGCAGGGGACTATGCTCGGCAGGAGGACTCGGGATGATTGAGGCTTTGAGGCGATTGAAGGGGGGCTGCACAGAGAGTGTGCAGCAGTCTCGGCGAGACGAAGTCGCAAGTATCGAGGACGAACCGTTGAGTCAGGCAAAGCACAGCACAGCACAGCACAGCACAGCACAGCACAGCACAGAGCAGGAAACTGCAGAGGGGGAACAGCAACGCGCGGGGCCGGCGCGCCCTCCTCACGTCTGGCAGGGTGTCCAGGTTCTCGAGCTTGACGCGCGGCGTGGGTGTCAAGCTCGCAAACTCCCCCACGTGGATGCTCTTGCGCAGCGGGAACACCGCCTTTGGCGGCCCGCCGGCCACGAAAGCCGCCTCCTCCGAGATCACCGCCGCGTCTTCCTCGGCCTTCGCCTTGATCTGCTGCGAGTACGCCTGCAGCGCCTTCTTCGCGGCATCAGCCACAGTGCTGTTCGTGCTGACCGCCAGCTCAGAGAGCTTGGACACCTGCCGGTTGACCTCGGCCTCCGCCATGTCGGGGTTGATGGTCGCGTTCTCCGCACCATAGCGGGCGACAAACTTGTCGATGCTGTCGGGGCCGGGCGGCGCGGGGACGTTCTGGGGCACCAGCAGGTAGCTGATGGAGACGCGCGGCACCGTGGTCACGCGCGCCGGCGGGACCACGGACACCAGCAGTCTGCGGCGCCGCGCGGGCGCGGAGGCGAGGCCGCGGCACGACGAGTTGATGTGGGTCGCGCCCAGCACCAGGAGGGGGTGCTGGGGCAGGACCTGCGGGCCGCGAGGGTCGGGCGCGCGCGTGTCATGCGGTTTGGGTGTGCGCTGCGCTGCCAGACTGAGCAGCAGCCGTGGCTCGCCAGCTGCAGGTGCATGCAAGGATTCTTCATCGCATGTGCGTTGCACCTCCAGGCGGACCAGAGGCTGACCCCCCCCACGCCGGGGGCCCTCCCCCATCCGCTGCAAGGCCAGCACGGATGTGGTGGGCTGCAGGCGCCACGCACCTGCAGTGTGGGCACGCCCGCTGCGAAGCTGCCGGGCAGGTTGTTGTTTGAAGACAGCAGCACGGTGAAGAGCTGGTCGCTGTATGGGTTGCCGGCCTTGCGCTGCTGCGTGCGTCCCCAGGCCACCGGCACGTTGAAGTCCTCGGCGCCGGTGGGGAAGAAGGTGAGGGTCGGCGCGCACTGGGCGCGCGCCAGTGGCAGCAGGGCTGGTGGCCGCGGGCGGGGGTGGGGAATGGGGGGTCAGACGTGAGTGCGGGGGTAGCAGGGGCTCACGTGCCTGGTGTAGCGTGCATGCATCTGCATCAAGTGACTCAAGCATATGTTGCTGCACGCGTGCACTCAAGCTAATTAGGCCATTGTGCAGTCTGAACAGCAGCACGCGTTGGTAGCTGGTAGGGCTCACAGCAGCAGCAGAACACAGTGAGCGCAACGCGCCACCCCCCATGTCTCACCTGCCACGACAGTCACGGTCGCCAGCAACACCCGCAATGCCACCATGTTTTGGTCCTTTAATCTAGTCATCGGTCTTCTGTGCCCCCCGCCAGCACCTCCTTCGCCCCGCGGGCCAGTGAACGGTTTGTTTGACGCCAGGCCCGTGTTGAAGCCGTACAGGGGATTCGCAGCGGAAAGTACAATTGAAACCTATTGTTATATTTTTAGTAATCAGCTGGATGCTGGTTGCTCGGGACAGGACGGCTAGTCAGATCGTCGTCGCAGTCTGCCTATTCAAATGCTATGTATCTGGAAAGCAATGAAACGCTGAAAGTGTGCAACCCAAGCTGCGCACACCACCCACATGGGCATCCTCCGCCTAGCACTCGTCGTGGCTTGGCGGTGACACGCATGCTGTCTAGCCACCCCAACAGTCAGTGGGGTGGTCCGTGGCCGCTGCTCACGTGCTGATGTGCACTGGTTTCATTACTAAGGGGGCGGTCCGTGTTCACAAAAGCTATTGTCGTTCATGCTGCTGCAGGACAGGCGCCAGAGGGCCCCAAAGCCCTGGCAGCGGAGAGAGCACGAGCTGGTTGGCTGTAGGTGCACGCCTGCTGTGGGGGCCACAAGCTGCGGAGGAGCTGCATGTTGTGTATTGCATGCAGCTGTCAGCTTTGCGCCAACACAATGCGCCTGCAGGGGCCAACACAGTTCGAAGAAAAGACAAGCCTGCAGGTACATGTGCACTCGTCAGCCCTCATCTGTGCAATAATGAACAGAAGACAAATACCTGGAGATCGTTTGGGACCCATCTGAGATGCGCACGCGCACATTGCTGCTGTGCGCAGCCTGTGCACAGCACGCCCACATGCAAAGCCATCGCGCGTCCCGCTCACAGCGCCAGAGCCAACGCCGCCGCGCCCGCCAGCGCCGTCGCGCCCGCTGCCCGCCACCGCTTCGCGCTCCCCGCCGCCGACTCGCGCCGCGTGCGGTTCGCCGGCCGCGCGAGCGGTGCGGGCATCGCCGCGGGGGCAACTGCAGCTCCGCTGGCGTCCACAGGTGGCGGCGGGGGCGCCGGGGGCGTGAACCTGATGTTGGGCCTCCAGCCCCACGACCCGAAAAAGAGCCCGTTGGCCACCGTCTGGCCGCACACATCCAGCAGCACCACCTCCAACGTGTGGTTCCCCGCGTCCGCCACCCGAAGGTTGAGCGGGCTCTCGCAGTGTATGCGGTCCGCCGAGTTGGCGATGCGCGCGCCGTCGACGTAGCAGAACTGCTCGCCGTAGCCCTGCGTCTCCCACGTGAACGCGGCGCTCGCGCCCGGCGCGACGGCGGCCTCGGGGCCCGCGAGGCTGGCGATCTTGGACTTGACGGTCTGGACCGGCACCGGGCGGTTGCTGGAGTTGCGCAGGCTGTTGCCCATGAACTTTGCGGAGCCGTCGTCGTACTGGTCGAGACCGAACAAGCTGTTTAAATCGGGGACGCCTGTGGCGAGGGAGCCCTCAATCCACACATTGTAGTAGCCGTTGACGAAGCCGGAGCTGTCGAAGAAGGCCTGCAGGTAGTTGGGGGCCCGCGGGTCGGTCCACTTGACGTACTGCCCGAAATAGTCGACGAGGTTGTCGGCCTGGGGCGACGCGTCGAAGGTGCGGTTGAGCTTGGCCCAGACGTGGAAGACAGTGCTGAACAGCGGCTGGTCAGCACTGCGGCGGCAGGGGCGGGGTAGGCG